GACTGAGTCTAGGTTATTCCTAGGTTGAGACCAGATTCTAATCTCTCCTTTTCTGTGCCTCACAGGAATCCTGTCTCCTCGTGAAGCTCTGGACGAGCTTAAACGCCTGTCTCCTTGTGAAGCTCAGGAAGAGCTTAACCGCCTGTCTCCTTGTGAAGCTCAGGAAGAGCACCCTCACTGGAACCCAGTCTCTGGTCTGCAGCTCTGGAGGAGCTGCATCTCAGGAAACCAGTCTCAAGCCTGAAGCTCTTGGAAAGCCTAGCCAGCTAATCTGCCCTGGTGAGCCAAGCCGAAGATTTCTACTTGGATGCAACCTGACGACTTCTCTGTGGAGTTTCCCTAGAGGTTCCCATGAAGATCTTCCCCTGTTGTTCCCTGCTGTGAGCTGGAAGCTCAAATCCTGCCTTCTCCCTTTCCCTGCACAGACCCCAGTGAACCAGCCCCCTGCCTGTATTGTTTTCATTACAATCCATGTGCTTGTCTTTAAATAAACTCCTTGGACTTTTACCAGTGCCTCCGTGAGTGTTCTGCATCTTGGGCTTTACTCTAAGAAAACCCATCATGACAAATATATGTGCAGATTTATCTGTTAGACCATGATTTGAGCTCTATTCACACTTTTATTTGTTGTTCTACCACACAGCTTGTAGGGCATGTGTTCATAAATCAATGTGACTGAATATTATCTAATTAAATAACATATTGACCACCCCCGCTGGTGTGGGTTATAAATAAAGTTGCATAACCTTCCAGACCTTTTTCCATGAAGCTCAGAGACAAACTGAGGTTTACTGGATGGACAATGACAGAGTTCACATTATAAGAGATTCTCAAGAAGACAGAATTTAACAAGAAAGATATAATAATTGAACTTTATTGATCTGATATTGGAGAAATATTCCTGGTTTAGTTGGAATCATCCAGCAAAGAGAGATGATCCTTCGCCTCCTTAAATACATCGTCTTGATGGAGAAATGTTCTCAGGTTTGCTGCGACACGGTCGTCCTGCCACCAGCAAAGATCCTCTCTGTGACAGGAAGCTCACTCAGAGCAGAAAAACAGCAAAACCACGGAAACGCTGCTAAAATCTGTGATTTATTCGAGCTCTTCTAGGAAGGAATTAAGACCAACAAACTGCAAACAAACAACATTATCCCAAATATGGGAGTCTGGTTTCAAAAAATTATGTTTTATTTGTAACTAAAATTGTTTTTTTCTTTTTATTTGCAGAGCTTTGTTTTTTTTATGTAATATTCAACATGGCGGGTGACGTCCAATAGAAAAACTTCAGCTCAGGAACGGCTGAAACAGTTAGTGCAAAGTTTCAAACACTACTGCTCATTCATTTTATCCAAACAGCTACAAACACAGCAAGATATTCACTAAAAGGAATTACTGAAAGTAATCAAGTAAAAGTAACTAAACCTGATTTTGTTCTGACTTTCCCACTTTTAATTAATTACATTAGTTATGAGAAACATTTCTCATTTATTTAACGGTTTCTGCTTCTAAAGATAGAGACCGTTTTTTTTAGGCCCAACAGCTTTTCAGCAGTTAAAGGCATCAATACCTTATGCCTGCAGGAAGTTTTTACATTTGATCAAACAATGAGCATTAATGTTTCATTAGGATTTAGGGGAATGTCCAAAACAAAGTAAGGCATCATTCTGAAGGGGAGGAAAAAAAATTAACTAATGATTACTTCCAGTAGTCGAGTTGTAAAAAAAAAAGAAGGGACATGGTGGATATTTTTTTATTGGAAGTATACATAGTCTGAGCTTCTGAATGAGATCGACGGTGAGAGAGGCGCCGCTAACTCAGCAGAGCTTGAATATCCAACATCAAACTAACTTC